CCATGCAAAATAGTATGTACTCATAGCAATGCCTACTGGCTGTGCAATAGCAACTGCAGATGTATTTTAATACATACATTCAGCTTTTTATTTCATCCTTAGGTCCCAACCATTACGGTTTTTCACAGTCAAGAACTCTTTCGAGGAAATGGTGGAGGGTTCGTGACACGCCTGCTACTATTTAGGTGGGCATGTTCTCCCTCCTTGCAAAATTAAATAATACCTTAGCCTAAGGCTGCACAGCAAACTGGTGTACACAAAAAAACCCCAAAACAAAACAAAACCAAAACCAAGACTGAAGCTCTAAGGCAGACATGTGTCAGCAACATGTTTAGGTTATGCCAAAAACCCAGTACCAGGTGTTTTCCAGGGTTCCTCCTGGTATGATCTCAGTCTTGGCCTCTTAGAATTGGCTAAGGAGGGAAAGGGAGCTGGGGTGTCACCAAAGTTCTCCTCGTTGCTGGTGGGTGCTCACCTCTCCCCTTGCTGTCTGCAGGAACTCCTCCTACTGTGCTGAGGTCTCCATCCACCTCACAGTCGTGGAGAAAACTGCTGCTCGGGAGATTGCCTATCTCCAGGTCCTTTTTACTTTCACCTCTGGAAAGATTGTTTGCCCTGACCTGTGGGATTTTACACCAAATAGGACAAGCCTGGAGCTCAAGTGGTACAAGGTAGAACTTTCACCTACTCTTTGTGCAAAGCCTAATCCTAACCTGTTTGGGACAGGTTGCACATGCATCCCCACCCTCTGTTTCCCCTGAACAACATGTTGATAAAGTAATGAGCACAGAATGATATACTGGGATTTTTGGGGCAGATATGTGTATTTTAAGAAAGGTTCTCTGGGGTGGACTCAGCACAGGGTGAAGTGCTCCACATGTTATATGTTCTCACAGGCAGTGTAACTACTTTTAAGGCTAGATTACCTACACTGGCTCCAGGATTTGATACTTCAGATTAGGCCCTTCTCTTTGGCGCTATGCTTCTTTCTATGGCCCCTCTAGTGAATCCCACAAAGTAGGACCTCTCCGTGATGCTTCCCCCGTGTGAGCTGTTCAGATGGGGTAGCTTTCATTAATCAACTGGAATATATAGCATTTGGAAATACTAGATTCATCACACAATGCTCATAGTGTTCTCTTGCCTAACTTGCCAGTCCGTGGCTTTTCAAGTAGGCCAGCCTGGTTTTGCCTCTAAGGTCAAATATCCTTCACTTGATCATCTTCAGATGTACAATCTCACACTGGACAGCATGGGATTCTGCTTATATTTTCATAATACCTTGGTTTAGCTTTTATTTGAACTCCCAATATGATCATATGCTCTGCCTCATGCAGCTATCATTCTTACCACAGGATGCAATACCTAGTCTGGCTTTATACAGCAGTGCCTATGTGGTCGTTGGTACCGTACCAGCAAAAGGTCTCTGCACAGGACTACAATCCACTTAAGTAAAAGGCTACCCCCACAATATGGTTCTGTTACAACTATCAGAAAGAGCTAGCCTGCCTTCTTGGAGAAGGAACAGCATTTGTCCTAGCAGGGCTCCAACATGTGTATGAACAGAGCCTTAGTGATACAGAGCTGGAATTTATCACAGTTTATGAGATCATGTAGGGTAAGTAATAGTTTTGTGCAAACCTGCATGATTACTAGTGTTTGTCTTCAAATAATGCCTTAGAACACTAGTCTTATGAGGTCATGTGTGGAAAGGAATAGTGTTGTGAAAATCTTCAGGGTTACTAAAATGCTTTTGTCTTAGAAGAATGTCTTAGACGATTACACTTAACAGGACTCAGGAAAGAGCCTATGATATCTTTTCCACCTTACAATGTGCACTTTATTGAAAAGCTATACACGCACATTGTAGATAGATTAAAATAGCAATTCTTCACACCTCATACAGTGCCCCAGAGCACTTGAGAGATGGATACACATTTGAAGAACTTGCCCTTTGGTGGGGAAGTGGAACTGCTCAGATTTCCCTATGAAAAATGAACTTTCAATAACAGAGACAGGAATAAGTAATTTTGTCTGGAAGTTACACGGGGTGTAACCACACCTGTCGGAGCCATAACACCAGCTGCTCTCCTTTCTCAAGGATGCTCTGCCTTTGGAAGACGACAATGAAAAATTTGTAATTCTGAAAGGTTCGACTTCTCTCATCATGACTTCTGTGCTGCCAACAGATGCTGGCTATTACACCTGCAAGATGTCATTTCCATATGAAGGTGTAATGTATGAAATCACCAGAACAATTCAACTGGAGACTGTTGGTAAATATCAACCGCTTTAAAACGTGACAGCACTTAAGAAAAATCTCTTCTCTGTTAATGACACTCAGGAGAAGAACTCACACTTGGCCCCTCAGCACTGCGAAGGAACGGGGGACGCCACGGGTGCTTCCTTTGGCACTGAGGAGTGTCCCACAGCACCCCGGCAGGGCTGGGGTCACCCCTCGGCCTGACTTGCGGCAGGTCTGCGGGAAGCAGAACCCCCTGTTGCACGCGCCTGTGCTTGTTCAACCGAATAATTTACTTCGGGGGGGGCGGGGAGGAGAGGCTGTGTGTTTCAATGCACATGACTTCAAAGGGATTAGGAAATAAAACACTTAACATTCGGGAAAACTTAACAGTGGGGGAAAGCCGCTATTTCGCAAACGGGTGACACCGCCTGGTCCCGC